AAATCCGAGGAAGATTTTAAATATTATTAATGCGAAAGAGGAGACAGAAGCCTGCTTCTGGTCTTCGAACCCATAAAAAATTTGGGTTACTTCTCTGGCATCTATCTGAGTAGGAGACATTTGGATGTTCCATGCCTAAAATTTTTCTAGTAAAACGTCTTTGGACATTTTCTATTTTTTGATCGACTAGCTTCGTTCAGCAAACCAAAGAATGGACAGCTATATTTGAGAATGGGAAGTACAAACATACGATAAAGTCTTAATTTGATTTCAGGAAGATAGAAATTGTAAGAAATAAAGCCACAAATCTGGGCAGCTTTGGCTGTAATTCTGTCAGCGTGTGGCGAGAGATAAAGATTATTAGTGTAGTTTAGACCTAAATCCATGATTGTGGTACATTCAGTCATATGCTTGCTTTTAAAGACCACTGGTTGGGGTAGCCTATCAGGTCCAAAACACATACAGCGACATCTAGACGGAGATAATTCCGAAGACAAAGATGCGATCACTGGAACAGTGATCGCATCTTCGTCTTCTGAACTGCAGCCTGGAACTCGCCTGTTCGCTTCTATCAGGAGAGCATTCCATTAGCCAATTTGAGCTCCAAGCTGAGAGAGCAAGCAATTCAGCTTGGATTTGCTGCAGGCAACGAAGGCTCGTAGATTTATTGAAAGAATATACACACTTGAGATCATCGGCATAAATAAATGATTGAGAATGTTTAACTGCCGCCGGGATATCATTTATGTAAAGCAGGAACAAAAGAGGACCTAAAACAGTGCCTTGTAGGACACCACTTACAAAGGGGTTTTCACTGGAAAGTGAAGATCCCACTAAAACCTTTTGTTTACGATTAGACAGGTATGACTTAATAAAGTCTGTTTGGGGACTTCGAATTCCCAGAGCTTCTAATTTAACCAAGAGTCCTTTATGTGGCACTTTATCAAAGACTTTACTGAGATCAAAATAAATAACGACAACGCAAAATATATAACAATGTAGACGCAACTGCCCCACGATTGTCGTTTCGAATGCAAGTATAGCCTAAATTAGAGAGTTCGAAGTCAGCTACGGAAGTTGATGCCCATGTCTCAATTACTAAAGCAACATCTGGACAATGGACGAACACTAGAGTCCGAAGCAAAGGAATCTTATTTAGTGATGATCGGGCATTAAGTGCAAAAATTTTGAGGGGAAAGGCTGTTTTTTTCTGAGGGAGGTGTGCTATGTCGTCCAGTGCTTGGCTGCCCACAGAACACACGGTCCGGATGTACCCATCCGGTTCTCCAAAAATCTTTTGGCATGAAAAGTTTCTGACGCGAATAAAAAGGAGTAGGACTTGGGTGGGAAATGACGGGCAGGGAAACCGGTGACCATTGTTAGCTAGCTCATTTTCAGCCGGAAATCCACGAGCCGGATACTGTAACGTATTCCCGCCGGGACGAAATCGAGAAGCGGGTGAGTTAACTGACCCAGTATGGACATTAGCATGGGGAATGAATTAGTAAAACGGCCGTGGAGGAAACGTGATTGGAGGGGTGGGGGACGCACTGCTTCCAATGGAGCACAAATGCTATTAAAAGACGGACATGTCGGCATATTCGGCCTAACCGCCTCGATATGACGGCTGGGGGGCAGTTAGAAACACGCTACGTTTTGAGTCGGGTTGTTTGAGGCAGTGTTAGGCGACTGTGGAGGAAAATATTTCACAATGGAACTGGATTTACCTCGTGTCCGAGTGGCTGAGACGGCATTTGGGTCCGCCTTTGACTTAGGCACAGGCTCAGGCTTGCTAGGGGTTGCTGATTGAGTCGATAGGGGCGTTTTTATACCGGGCGTGTTGATGCGTTTAAATATCTCAGCATAAAGAGTAGTCGAATTTCCTACGGAAATGACTATGCCGTGACATGCAGAGGCCGCAGATGAGGAAGAAGAAGACATATTCAAACAGGCAATAGGTCCCATTATCCCGGTGTTGGTTTCTGACAATTTCGTTTTGTTCAGTCTTCGCTGCATTGGTGTGAGGTCCGGCGAAACTGAGCAGCGCCATTTACGGAAGAATTCTCTAGTTATCTCCCTCCTCGACAAGATAAAATCGACTTCTATCAAGGAGAAAAATTAACTAGTATCAGCTCATTACGGCTGAGCGAGCGTAGTCGTTTAGCTTGTGCGACACTGAAACCCAAGCCACAACTTTGCAGGAACAAATGCGCTCCTTATTTAGCAGATAAGTGACTCGGAATGTTTTGCAGTACAAAATTATGCCTGCGTTTTATTCTCTCCTCGGTTTCAGAGTTTATTACCCCAATAACTTTAAACGCTTGTTCAATGACTTTTTCAGAGGTGCTGCTTATTTCGCCATATACCAATTGATCGAGTATTTCGTCGGCTGATGTTCTGTTACGACTAGCGGAGGCGTAGTATTGGACGATTAAGGGTTCAAGAGGTTCTACTTGGACTAAAGGGATTTTTGATCAACCATATCCACAGAAGGCAACGAACACATGTTGGTACCTGTTGCGTCTCCGGCCACGATTCTAGCGCTGAGATTCTGTAGGGAGTCTGCAAGCCTTTGTCTTTTACCACGTATTCTTCGGAGCATTAAAGATTACTACAACGTTGCTAACGTACAACAAAACACAAAGAATAGCAAATACAACTGTTAGTTTACTAAAAAAAAACTAGAAAGAGACGGCCTAACACGGAGTCACGAAGAGACACTTCACAAAATACGGCTACTTTACCAGCCTGCCTAATAAGACTGGAAAAAAATAATACCCGGCTGTGAAAAACGACTTTTAAAAAGGATTGAATTAAAAAATATGCATTAGTTGCTTAAGACTATCAAAGTATAGGCAAAGCTTCACTTATCTTCTAAATTGAGCTGCGCGCCAGCAGCTTCTATCAATTTGCTTTTGTCCTTAGTGGACATGGACAATTGAGCTAAATATGTGAACTGAGAAGCAGCAATGTTTGCTGACGACATCAGAATTGCGAGTGTAATCCTAGACCCTGCCGATAAAGATAGACTGCAAACCAAATTAAATTGGTTGCAGGAGTGGTCAAGTAGTTAGTTCATGCGGAAAATCCTCCACATTTTGTCTAGGCTATCGAGCCAGATCAACCAGCACCAGAAACCCATTTTCCCGGTGATACAGTTTTTCGAGACGTGGGAGCTGAAAAGGACCTCGGTGTGTTGACGACAAACTCCTTAAAATCATCCGCTAACTGTCCGGAAAAGCCATAAGGAGGCAGGAAATTAAACTGTTGTGAGGATATAAACGGTGCGAATTAAGGGTGTTGGGGCCTGCAATTTGTTGAAGCGTTACCACTAGCTACGGCGCAATTATGGTGCCGAATGAAGTACGGCAGGACCCATAGGGGGAACGCTATCTTGTGGGACCGGAAAATTTGAAGTCGGAAAAAGATCTTGTGTTGAGATGTTCAATTATAATAAGGAGAAGCCTGCTCTAGGAAGGGAACCAAGGTGTTTTGTAGCGCGGTTTACCTTATGATATAGGCCGTAGATTTTGAAATAGTCTAGCAAATATTCTGATGAGAAAAATTGTTGCCAAGCTGTTTGTTTACGTCCTAAACCTTGTCCAGTTAACAAACTTACCAACTGCTCGGCCTTGGTTAAATTTGGGGTTGAATCAAGTAATGACTCGTCAAAATTATTCTGAGGCCTACTGGATATGTAAGCCTGTCCTTAAAAAGTTCATTTTCGTCAAATTGAGCTTCCGTTAATGAACGGAGTAATTTATAAAGAGGCATTTTCCCCAGTCCTCCTCTTATGAATTCTTACCAGTCCGGGTACAGACACCGCCCTCTACTAGAGTGGTTCTGCAACCGGATAGAAAATAACTAGGCAGAACCAACCACCTTCGTGTGCGTGGTAACCTCCACTAGCTGCTGTCGGACGGCATACACTCCTCCAAACAAACAGACGCTTGTTTTAGCCGATAGGAAGCAGGGACTCACTAAGAAAAGTTTGAAGAAAGGAAGAAATCAATACTTGCGAACCTACGCACCGTCCACCGTACAAATGCTAAGATCTCAAAAAGAATTTCGTGCAGGTTTTATGGTTACTATGAACCAGATTTGTACTTGTTTTATAACCTTCCTTATGCATGGATGGGCCACGCACTTAAGGCACTACGCCTCTGAGGGGTTTATAAGGATATATTAATTGGGACGACTGTAGTATACTGGGTTTTGATAAACGAACAGAGAATTAGGAGTGTCTGGAGCCAAAAATAAAATATACTGTCTTGATAAGAAGTATGTAACGAGTTGCATTTATTTACTAGGTCTCCGTTCGTTTTTAGAGCAGATTAAAGAAATACTGCATCAGTGCAACTTACGCAAGGTATTAATTGTCAGAGATGGGGTTTCCGGTGTTTCGGATTATACGAAATCTAAGCAATCGCTCTGAGCCTCTCGGTTTCTTCCTTTTATATGTCTTAGGACATGTAACGAAGTTGAAGACCATGATAAAAAGAATTTCTAGGTTTGCATAGTTAACTGTTTTTCAGGAATTATTTCAACGTATGGTGTTTTCTGCTCTACGCAAATGTCTAATAACCGAAGGACCGGGAAATTTTTAAGATGTCCCAACGTTAGCAGATTTCGTATCGAGTTTTCAAACTGAAGGACACGCCCGAGATTTTTCAGGAACATCTGTGTCAGGAATAAGACACAAATATAAAAGTAATGCGCGATGGTGGGAATGTATCCTAACACGTGATGTAATTGATACGAAAGTTTCATTTAGTCTGATTTTTAATGTGCCTCTAAATAATAATGGACAACTCAAAGAGGAACCACTTGCCAAACCTTCAACTATACATCAACGCACAGCATTGTAGAAGAGCTTCTGTTTCCATTATATGTAAAGAAAGTGTTAGGACCATTTGAATCAAGATTGTGGTTTGTTTAATCTGGTAAATTAGTTCCTTCGTCAAGGCCGGCCGGTCACTTTTAATTTTGAGTTGCTCGTGATGCTCTCGCGCAAGGTGCTCACTAAGGAGGTCGCGGAGGCTGACAAGTCTCTTTATGTCATCAAAAGAGGTAGGCGCCTGACTGTACTTTACGCACCTCCTTGCGTTAGATGGCCGGCGCGAGCAAATTCACTGTCACAAGATTACGAAGCGCATTGAAAATCTTTGTGATGGACTTCACAAAGACTTCATTGACGTTGTAAGTTCCCCCTACACCAACAACAAATGTTTGAGCAATCGCCCTCTGTATTTCCCCTGAGATTTATGTTATCTGCGCATCTAACCCGTTTCTCGAGTTGGTTATTTACTTGGTTGGTGCACATCGACTCCAACTTCAAGTGCATTGCGACCAGCCCCGTATACCCTGATAGCATTCTGCTCGCCCAGAGCTAGCCCGGTCGCGGGCTAGTGTTGCGATTGACTGGATTTTTCCGGTAATCCCAGCGGACACTGTCCATTCGGGAACAGTATGTTGACGCGCCTTTTCGGGCGAGTTGAGGGCGTGGTAGCCCGAAACGATTTAAGTCTCCAGACAGGGGCGTAAATTCCGGACAAAGTGTGTGCGTACATCCTGCATGCGCGCGTGCGCGCAAAGGGATCCCCAGGCGTGACGTGCAAAATGCACTCGGGTGAACATCGAGGAGGGGGTGTAGCAGAAAAGCTCCTTTCCTCGCACGAATCGATCATTGTCAGCCAGTCAGGTTACTAGCCCGCAATTTAAACGGGCTAGCAAATGTCTAGCCCTGGGTGACTACATGCTGTCAGGGATAAGACACCTATGATTTGATCTCAGTCGCCGATTTCCTCACTCGTGGGTAGATGATAAATACTTGACCTAGTAGAGGGCGACTTAGAATGTTATTTATATTCCTGCTCACATTAAAGAGCCTCATAACATGCACCACCTCATTTGCAGGAGTACATTACCGCGCGCGTCGTAGCGGGGCTCTATTCCGGCGTTCCAACATCTGAGCTCGACACTCTAGCCGCTGAGACTTGCGCGAGCATGACAACAAAACATTATGACTACGGCACACTTGCCGCCCGTATATTTGCCTCGAACTTGCACAAGGAGACGAAGCCCAAATTTTCCGAAGCTATGGAAGAACTCTATAACTATCACAATCCCAAGAATGGTCTGTTTACGCCGATGATTTCTGAAACCACGATTAACATTGTCCGTGCCAATTCCAAGCGTTTGGATGCTGCAATTGACAATCAGCGCGATTTCGATCTCAACTTCTTTGGTCTCAAGGTGCGTCTCACAAAACATTGCCTATTTCACTCCGAGCTGCTCTTCAATACTTATAAATTCTATCCTGTTTTTAGACCCTTGAGAAATCCTACCTCTTGCGCAAAAATGG